TTATTATTATTATTATTATTATTATTATTATTATTATTATTATTATTATTATTATTATTATTATTATTATTAATAATAATATTATTAATATTATTATTATTTTTTATAAATATAAAAATTTTAAACTTTATTTATTAAAAAATTTATTTGCAAATTAAAAAAGCAATAATAATACTTATTCACAAGAGCATTTATTTAGTAAAAGAAATTATAATGAATGTAAACTTATTTAAAGTGCTGCTGTTATTGATTTGCAATTTGAGAATTTTAAAGTTAATAAAAAAAATTAAAGAAATTATAATGAACATGAACTTATCCAAAGACAATGAACACAAACTTGAAGATTTTGAAAATTCTCAAGATAAATATATTGAAATAAAAACCAAAGGCTAAAAGACCTTTTTTCAAAACATGAAAATTATTTTACCTCGAGTAAACAACTGAGATGCCTCAGATAATCAATCAACAGGTTACGCGATTGAAGAATCGATCTAATACTGTATCGTAAATGAACGATCTTCCAAAATAATTTCGCTATTTTGTTTCAATTACCAAAACTACAGCCTCGGATATAAAATGGCGACTACGCGAGCAGTAGCAGCTATAGACTGGTCAAAACTCACTGTATCTCTAGGCTTAACACGAGAAACAGTCGGTGCCTTAATTGCGTTTCGTAAACGTAACGAAGAGGCGAAACGCATCGTCAGCTCGTTACGAGAACAACCGACCCAAATAGATTTCGAGGAGTACCGAAGCAAATTGAAAAATAAGTCGGTGGTTAATGAGGCCGAGAAGGCATTTAATGGTTTCAAACCGACAAAGGTTGATTTGAATAGTCAGTTGAGGATTATTGAAAAGTTTGAAGCGAAGGCTGTAGGTTTTTTTCTTTTTTATTCACTTCTTTCTCGTAAGAGAATATGTTGATGGCGAGTATTTAAAGATAACCATTGATTTAAATTGGATAATAACAACACCAAAAGGTGGAAAGAGCTGAAAAAACAGTATCGAAATTCGATTCGGAACTTCGCGAACTACAGCACACTTTGGCGAATATAGAATCGGCTAGACCACTCGAGGAACTTACAGTGAGTTTAATGATTATATATGAAGTATTCCGTAAAGATCAATGTACCCTTTTACTGATTTTTTTTTCTTTTTTCTTGCAACGTAAGATCGACGAAGTTGCAAAAATTAATCCAGAAATTGATCGAATTGTCGATAAAATGGTTAAAAGAGGATATTGGGACGTGCCAGGATATGAAGAGAAATTTGGTTCATAATATTTATGGTCTCTATATGCATCAATATATTTTGAAAATAGCATCTCACGAGAAAGCGCCAATATAAACTTTACAAGCAACAAAATTAAATTGAAATATAATAAATGCAATGCAATAACAAACAATTATTAATATATTTTTAATTTATTGTTGTCCACTTTTCCAAATCTCTTCAACTGTTTTTCCTTTTGTTTCCGGCATGTATAGTCTCACCAAGAAAAATGCAGCGATCAAAACTCCCGTAAAAAAGTAAAAAACGCTACCCCCAAGAACTTCCTTGGCGCCTAAAAACAAAAACGAGACAATAAAATTCGAGATCCAATTCACCGTCATACCAAGGCCAGAAGCGGTTGCGGCGGCATGAGTATCAACAATTTCGGGGGCGATTAAGAACGGGATCGGTCCGAGACCGATCGCAAAAGAAGCCACGAATGTAATTATCGATAGGGCGGAAAGAATAGGGTAATTTTGGATAATACTAAATCCTAATACTGCACTCGCGATAGACATTGAAGAGATGGATAAAAGCAAGAGAATTCTTCTCCCGGCTTTGTCGATTAGTATCGCCGAAACTATTGTCATCATGGTGTTTACAATACTTATATAGACGGTGACAAGGTCACTTTTGTCGGGCATAACTTCACTAAGAATTGTGGTCGAGTAGAAAATCACCCCATTGATTCCGGAGAATTGTTGTGTTAGTTGGAGTAAAAGAATGACAATTAAGGCTGGTCGATAATGCGGATTTGAAATAAAGTTCAAGACATTGATATTATCATGAACTGTATGATCCCGATTGCGTGCATGAAAAACTACAGCTGGCGTTTCCAAATTATTACGACTTTCATTGTCCATTACTACAGAGGAAGGATCAACTTCCGAGTCATCATCTTCATTTCTAGATATCAATCCTTCTAGTCCTTCTTCAGCAGCCACCTGTTTCCAACTATTTAATTCCGATTCGACATTTAATGTCCCGCGTAATTTCTGTAAAGATTTCTTCCCGGCTGTATATCCATTTGGTAATGTGACGAGATATCTCGGTGACTCAACGACGAATCCCAATAAAATTACTTGTAATAATCCTATTATTGCGCCGGTCATTAAAATGAGGCGCCACCCGGGAACTGTTGATAGATAAAGTCCTTCCACTTGTGAAAATAATATTCCAGTAACGATTCCAAGTTGATTCATTACACCTTTAATGATATTATTCAATAAGATTAACATAATTACTGTCAGCTCAAAGGAATACAACTATTTAAAAGTCTTACCAAAAGTGCCTCTATATTCAGGTGTAGATATTTCTGATAAATACATGGGTACAACTACAACAATCTGTATATTTTCTTTATCAATTTATTTTAAATAGCACTAAAAACTCTTAACGACATATATAATCAATGAAACAAACTTACCACACCAGATCCAATTCCAGCAAGCACGCGTCCAACAACCAATGAGAAATACGTTACCGCAGTTCCCATCAACAAAGAACCCAAAATCAAAAATATGTTGTTAAAAAGTAAGGCCCATTTTCTTCCTTTACTATCTGCGATACGTGACGCTAACAACGAGCCAAGAAGACCTCCAAGGTTAAATATCGAGGTTATTAACGCGTATTGTGTAGGGGTCATTTTTATACATGGAGGAAACGATGAATCGTAAAGTTCTGGCGGCGGAACCTCGCAAGAAATAACTTTTTGAGGTGAGTTAAGTTCTCCGATCTATGAGTTGACAAAGCTTCAAATTTCGAAAAACAAAGTTTAATGGCGTAACATTTGGTAGATATTGTTACTTACGTGAAAACCATAATGGAAGGAGCCTAGAGCAGCTACGAAAGCAGCAAAGTAAATATATAATGTTGGTGACTCGTTATCCATCGTTAAGCTTTAATAAAATGTACCGTGTGAACTTTAAATTGAAGATCGACAATTCCATTTTTTTAAAATCAAAGTCAAAATGACGTGTTTCAAAAATTGTTAATTTATGGAGCTGCAGCATCGTTCAATTCAAATAAATTCTGTTCGTTCTCTCACAACTGATATACTAAACAACCCGTCTTCAGCAAACGTTTCTCCAAAAGGAAGCAACAGCCCTTCAACCCTAGAACAATTATGGTCTTTAGTGAATTCTCGTAATGGAATTATTACTTCCAATGCAGTTTCTGGGTTAGTTTCTCTTGTTCGCGCGGAAGCGTTACCCTGGCTGAGTGTGCTCAATGGATTCACTGACGCTTTAGATACAGCTCCTTCACATAGTCTAGCAGTAGCTAGTTTATTAGAGGGAATAACTAGTGTGCTCGTTTTTCAACTCGAAAGTCATATTGTTTATCCGTTTAACGTTGCAGGTGAAAGAATACATCCGTTTATTATTGCCGTGACAAAAAAGTCTGAGACATGGGTGCCCTTGCTTTCGCAAATAGAATTGATACTTGAACCTAGTAGGGTTGCTATTCATAATCCGTCAGATAAATTAAGGTTTTTCAATGATGCATTGGAAATGTTGAAACCTTTTTTGAATTTTGTACTTTTGGATGGAGTAGGAGCTGAAAAGCAATGGTCTCTGGAAATTATTGATTTGCTTTTTCGATGTCTTCAAAACACAATTGATGATGATTCATTTATAAGATTTCGTGAGAAGTTGGTATATTATTTACTTGGAGTATCGCAAAAGATCCCATTTGTTTCTCATAATTATCATACAAAGAGCCGTCAACTTCATCTTGTTCGGTCTCTGGTTCACGTTTTACGCGTTCCTTACATTCGAAATTCTTTACAGTATAATGTTGTACAAGAATTTAGTTTATCACTTGGACTACAAATTCTTTCTCTATTATGCGATGCTCACTATAATAAGCAGTCGCTCAATGATTATCTCCGTCTATTAACACAGCTTGTTAATCTGCAAACTGGGATGGAGACGAGGCTCCCAGAGCATAACTTTATTCTCTTTTGGCCTGCACTTTGCTATTTATTGTTGGATGCTCAATCCGTCGAATCTCAAACTTTAATTATAGATCTTTTGGATAATTCATTAAGAGAACAACGAAAAATTGAAACAGCAGATGACAGAATACCTCCAATGTTGATTGACATTGTAGTTTTGCCTTTGTTTCAATTGGTTGCTGAGGTTGCGTCAGGAACTGTTAGAAATCAGGCTATGGAGTTAATTCAAAAGATTGAAAAGTATCGTGAAGCAACAGATCATGACCGGCTTCTCTCAAATGCAGAACAAAAAGTTGAAAAAGAGGTAGTTTGATACTTTTTTATAATTGTTGTTTATTGCAAATATAAAACTCAATTGTTTAATCCAGGTATCAGTCTTGCTTAAATCTTCAAGTGTAATTGGAACTCTTGCCGACATTCTAGCTGCCACGAGTCGTTTTGTTAAACTATTTGTGGACACTTTACAAACTAAAACAAAATCCTCTTTATTATGCAATCTCAATTCACCATCCGATTTACTATTCTTGACACCCTATTTATTTCACACTAACCCTGAAATTCGCATAAAAGCCCTTTCTATTCTCACTGCATCCACTGAAAATCCCGAACTCGCTCAAAATCAAAAAATCACAATCTTTTTTATTATTCTTTACCTACTTCGTAACGACCCTCTTAGTTCAGTTCATCTTCACATTTTTTATCATTCTTTTCCTGAATTAATTTCTCCGAATGATCCGGTAATTACTGCTAAATTATTGAAATTATCGTTGTCTTTGGTCGAACGAAAAGACATTCAAAAAGATATGAAATTGGGTGCAGTAGGAGTAAGGCTTTTGTTCAAGTTGTGGGAAAAACAAAAAAGATGTTGGAGATCTTTGCGATTCGTGCTGAATGAGTGGGTGCAGCGTAGAAAACTTAAAGAAATTCTGAACCAACAATCTGATGAATATGAAATGGAAATTGCTGTTTTGGCTACAATAAGGTTCATATTGTTAGTTTCGAATATTGATTTATATATATTTTCTAATGACATTATCTTTATATAATTTCTTTCAAGAGATATTTGTAAAACAAAAGCGCGAGACTATGCAGAAGAATTAATTCCTTTCTTATCAAGCTTACTTCAATCTGTTATTTTATTGCCTATAAGCATATCTTTGATCATTGAAGCATTGAATGCTAGTGTCGAAGCTGACGTCGTGGATCCTCGTGCTGGTAATCCTTTGGTTTTATTATCGAATACAAAATACATCGACCTATATATTTAAAAAATTTCCTATATTTCTTAGCATGGACTGTAATATTATCATATATTGCCGATGCAACAATGCAATCAGATTTATTGAATAATGATATAATCTTGAACTTATGCCAATTTTACCAAATTGCTGCTGTAAAAAGCGACGGTAATTTGATGGTCATTACATGTTTTTCAATAGGATTTTAACATTCTAACTCCTATTTATTAATAAAATTAATAGGATCCGAAGTATATATTGCCTTCAAACAAGATCTATTATCATTATATATTCGACCACTTATATTCCCTTCTTATTCATCATCAACGGAGGTTACTGATACAATTCTATTTGAGATATCACCCAATAAGAATATTTTGAAACATGCATTACGTGCTCTATCGTATTTCCAAGGCCCTGATATCTTGAGTATATTCCCTGAATATCCCAAAACCTTGATCTCGAAAATACTTATTGAAGATTCTAGTGTCGAAGAATGGCAATTAGTATTCAGCAAATTGATTTATCATGAGGTTGATAACATGCGTCGAGGATTATTCAAGGGCATTTCAGGCGGTAAATCTGCAAGTGTTGTGACGAGTACCGGAAATGAAATAAAAAAAAACCGAATTCGACAATTTAAGGAACAATTACTTAATATATCGCAAAAAGTTATTAAAGATTGGGAAAGTGGCACTGTAAATCCTGGACTTCGTAATGGTTATGCGATTGCCTCGTTAATTGCTTATCGGCCAACTTTACCACCGTCTGAACATAATTCCCAAATAGATATTAAATCGACACGGCTTTATCGAATGATGGTTAATGGAATTCAGGATATCACGTTAACTGATCATTGGATTGTGAGGGTTAATACGATAAATTACTGGTGGATGTTTTTTGAAAATGGACTACATGAGCTTATAATTGATGGAAACAACGACGAAGGAAACGCAGTACAAAACTTGGTGAATGGTTTGTTTGGAAAATTGACAGATGCCAAATTTCCAGTTTTGTGTCAAAATGTCATCTTAGCATTGGCAGGTAAATTTTAAAAACAACCAATTTTAAGTTAAATGTATAATGTAAGAAAATATTCACTTATACGACTATCTCTTCATTTTTTATCAAGGTTTATGCCTCGCTCTCAAATCTTTAAATATATTGTCTGTACAGATGCATGCAGGCAATATTTTACGCCATCTGCTTAGCAACTATGTCTCTGAAACCGCATCAACTATGCATGATCAACAACAGGATTGGAGTCTTATTTCTAGTGATGAAGTTCAATTTGCAGTAATGCTTACTTTAGGATACTTTACGACATTAGTTTCAACTGATGAGAAGTTGATGCGTGAAGTTATCGATACAATGATTGTACAGATTAGTGATAAAAATTCAAGGTTGGGATTCTTTAATATTATCATTTACATAAATTATTAATTCCTTTTTTATATAGTTCCACTTCTGAATGGGCTCCTTTCGCGTCTTGCTATGGCCTTGGCATTCTTTTATCCCATCTCGTTTCATCTCCAACTAAAACAGTTGCAATGTCAACTTTATGCACCAACACCGTCTCTTATATCTCCGATTATTTATCGAAAGATGATTTGCCATTAAATATCTGTCTAGGCATCATGCTTGGATTAGCAAACATTGATCGCGAGGAAGAACCGATAGTAAAAAGTATATATCAAAAAGCGTTGGAAACGTTGCGAAATTTTGTAGAGATGAGTGGCAAATATGACGGGAATAAAGAATTTGTGATTGGTTCTGTTTGGTTTCTTGCCTTTTCGCAAGGGAAAACATCATATAAAGAGGAAGTGGTGGAATTATTGGAAAAAGCGATGCAAATCTCTGGAAAAACGGTATTTACTAGATTCATATAAATTTAAAACTAAAATTTCTTTTATTTTGATAAAATTAATAATTGTGGTTTTTGATATTCAGATTAAGTGGAAACAACACTACTTTCATTTTGCGCAAGCATATTTACATACTCTCCAAAAAATCCTAGAACTTGACCCGTCTTCTCGCTATTTATCATCATTCAACGCACAGATACACTCACACTTACGCATAATAAATTCTCCTGATTCGACATCGACCAGTCGTCACACATCAATCATTACGTTAGGCACACTCGCAGGAATTGATTTTGTGTTATCACCATCTATCAATGATGACTTTGGAAATGCTTATTTTTTCAATAATTCCTCAGACAAAATTATCGTCGAGGTGGTAAACAGTTTAACGAGCATTGCTGGACTTGGTGGTGGTGCAGGTATAGAAGCAGCCATAATTAGTGATTTGAAAGGAGCTCGACTTGCTGCTATTATTTTAGCGCGATTATTTAGAAAAGTTGAGGTAATCGATGGAGAGGCTAGTGGTGAGAATGTGTCAAATATTACAAATACCAGTAATGAACCAAAGGATTATTCTCGATTGTCTATAACAAGTTACTTGAGGACTTTGTTCGATGGATTGAATGAAATTGCCACGAGTAAGAGAAAGGATTTTATGTATTACTCCTTTGAATTTAATTAATATTTATATTTCTTTCTTTTTTAGAAGGAAACTTGGCCGATTCACCATTATCCATAGAATCTGCTAACTTAATTTTATCCACATTTACTTCCTTAAATTGTGTTCTGCCTCCTGTCAATTGGTTTATCCTTTTATCCAAATTCAACAAGCCGACGTTCAAAAAATATAAAATACATCATCAATATATCTTGATGGCATCTCAACACGCCTCGAAGTCCGCCTCACTAATGGAATTTCTTATACACACGTTGATTGGCTTCCCTGACATTAAAGATGAGGAAAAAATTGAATTGAAAAAGCTGCTTATTAATCATGGTCTTGCGAAAATTTTGGAACTTTCGGGATTCGCGAGTAGGAATGGAAAAGTCCTGACTGAGAAACGAATGGACGTTAGTAAAAGCGTGGTGGTTCCCAATTCACGTGTTCTCGAAATTGTTAATTGCATTGTTGCGGATTTGTTTAATAATGATGATGCAAGTAAAGAAGTGCAGGTGCTATGTTTATTTTTATTCTTATTTCTATTATTGTATATTTTTATATGTTTTCATTTGTAAATTTCTATCTTTATGACCTTAGGAGTTGCAAGTAATATTCCTTACGACGATAGCTGATCATATCGTATCATATAATATAAATGATGCACACTCTATCGGAGCAGTGACTGCACTCTATCAGGATCTTGTAAAAATCCTAAAAATGGTCTACTCAAAATTACCTCCTCCTATTACTTTGGAACACATACTCGTAATTCGATTAATAACCCAATGTGCAATCCTTACGATCGACGACCTCTCATACTTATCTTCAAACAAAACTGACGACTTGAAAAAATACACATTGACTATTTGCACCCTTACAGAGCTTGGTCATCTAGACGCTTCAAAATATCTGAACCAATTACTGCAAGAATGTTTAGTCTTCATTGGCAAAAATCCCAAACTGCATCAATCATCTTCAACACTTTTATTATTTTCTTGGATTGCGCGAGCAATTTATCTTGCTATGATTGGTCAGAATACAAAACAGTTAAGGCTTGCGTGGCTTATTCGAATACTTGATGTTTTGATTGTAACAGAAGAGTTTGACATCTTGGAGTATGGCGTTAAAGTTGCGCTAAGTGGAATCACAAATACTTGTTTGATTAGAGAAAATATAAAGAGAAAAGAGGAAAAGGAGGAATGGGATGACAATAAGTTTTTACAGATTGTTCAAAATTCTGTGAGTGTAAGACGATTGACTTTGTTAATCCCAAATGAAGTTGATGTCGCCGATTCGCTGGATATTCAGATTGAAGACTACAAAAAAAAGGTCATATATTTGATTAATACCGGATTGTTATATTTGTACATTTCTATTAACTTTTTGATGCGATATAATTTTGTTAGATTATAAAACGTTTGCTTAAGTTGCTAGAGTTTAGTCGCGAATTGAGTGAAATACAGTTTGTATTTAATACTATTCTAAGAAAGTTGGAGCATTTGATACCAGGAGATTCGCGATGTATTTTATTATTAGGGAATGAATAAAATAACGGTTCGAATACTCATGTTTTGATTCATTTCAATTGGATTAATTGGAAAAAAAGTTTTATTCCAATTGATTCATAAATTTATTATTTAGAAACAATTTAAAATAATTGACGAATTATACAAAAATAACGCACCACTTACATTGCTAATCGTTAATCACCTGATTCTCACTCACATGCAATCATCGTCTAATACAGAGAACGGGTTAAAGCGTAGTCATCATGTGATCAATCCCCTTAAATTTTCACAGTTTACTATTAATGATTTTTATGATTTATAAGGTCTCGGTAAGGGTAACGGTTAGGACAGAGGACAAAGTTATATGTAAAATTGCTGTTCCGACAATTTTAATTAGTATTCCAAGACAGATTTAGGTATTGGTTTTCGAGTAATATTCATTTTTCATATCTTGATTTGTCTTGTAGCATTGACGCCACTGCTCATTACAGTTACGATTAGGCACAAAACGTTCACGTGCCCCATTCCGTAAGTTCAAGATGAAGTAGTGCGCGAACAAATTAATTAATCAAAAAATTTGCGCACCCCTATTGGACATAGATCACATGATGGACTACAGTTCTATAAGTTAACACAACGTAGGAAGAGCTAAGAAAAACTTTTTTTTATTATGAAAACAAAAAACTATGATAATAAAAAATTTTTCAAGACTTGCTTTATATAATTTAACTTTTCTAAGAAAATGACGCAACTCACATTAGAAAAATGTGCTCAAGTAATTATATTATTTCTCTTTTTATTCATTATTTTTTTATTATTTCTCTTCTCTTCTTTACTGATCTTTCTTTTATTATTTTTTCTTTATTCTCTCCTTTTATTATATTTTTTATCCTCTCTTCTTTCTTATTAATTCTTGTTATTTTATCTTTTATTTTTTTCTCAATCTTTCAATCCTTTTTATTTTCTTAATATTTTTAATCATCTTTTATTATATTTATTTTTTATTATTTCAATTCTTTTTATTAATTCTTTCTTTTTTTCTTTATTTTTTTTATTTTATTTCTTTCTTTTCAATTCATCTCCTATTTTTATTAGATATATGTCATAATTTCAGAAGTTAATGAAAAAAATAATAACAAAAGAAGCTGTTATCAATTTTTGAACTAAAAAATATAGATTCTGAAGTTCTTGCTAAAATTAATTATTTTCTTTTTCCTATTTAAAACTTCTTGAAAAGAAATATATATTATTTCAAGGAGATTGCAAGAGAAAAAAATATCAAATCTAGTAATTATGAAATCTGATTGTAAGTTTTTCAATCATTATATGCTTCTTTATTCTTATATCTTTCACAAGTAACTTTATAATAACACTAATATTTTAATATTTAAAACATAAAAAAGTTTTCAGAAAACTTTTAAGAAAAGTGATTTGAAGATATACCAATCTTACAGTTTAGTGAAAATATTCAATCTAAGTTAGTAGCAAAGATAGCTATGGAAAAAATCATTTAAAGATGAATAAATTATTCTAATAAGAGTGTCTTTCATTTTCTTGCTCAAAAATTCGCTCATTCTTATTGGTCTGTTAAGTGCATGTGATCAGGAAACTTCGGATCCTGACTTACCAATCAAATGGTAAGATCGCGTAGTTACCTGATATTACACACAGGTAACGCGTGTAAGATGATTATACTTTTTTTATAGACCATAACTTGGTTAAGCACGAAGGACGTCTGCGATAGATTTTTAATCTATCGAAAGCCTAAGTTGTGGCCGCTCCGGAGTGAAGGCTGAGCGCGTACCAAGTTATGAAGGAGTTGTTAAGCACGAACCGAGCATCTCTTATCTGTGCCTTTTAAATCAACCATTCAATATCTGCCTAAAATATTAGGATCTCAGCTAGCCAACGAGATATCTCAATCCACGACTTCACATCTGCTACCAGTGTGGACATCAGAACTCGTAGCATGCATTACAGGTAGTTATTTTGTATTTTATTTACATAGTAATTGTATATTTATCCTTACTTTGTGGTTTTATATGAAAGGCTGAAAATCCAGACTTCAAAACAAAGATTCGAGAAGCAATAAATGGTGACAAGAAAGTACAGCACTTTCGTTTATATTATTAGAAAGTTCTCACGGACTTGTATGTAATTGCTAATTTGTTATTTCTCTAATAATAAGGTTTGCATTTATCAGACTATGAACATTGGGAATGAAAATATATAGTTGAAAACATTGTACCTTTATTTAAATTCTATGAACGCACTTATACACATATACTTTGATTGGTAAGTTCATGCTCTGTTATTTAATCACAAAGCCTTTAATGCTAAGATAATCAAATCTTTCTGTGTTATTTTTTTTGCATAAAGAGAATAAGTTTGAATTCTCTGAATTTCTTTTATATGACACTGTCGTCTTCTCCTTCGCTCTTCGAGAATGTACTCCTCCGGGAATGCCTCACTCCTCTTCGGAAGAGTCCAGTCTTTGTGCAGGCGAACAAGATTGTGACATTCTCTTGTGTACGGTGCATGTTGTAAGAACATGGATCAAAAACATCTACCATGGTCCTACTCTTAATACAATGATCCGTGCAATGCATAAAAAAACTCAGTTTGTTGTAAAGAAATAACTTTTCTCTGGTTGAGTCTGTAGATACTATATACGGTTACCGTGACCACATACTAATTGCCTTCTGTAAAAAAATTTTTCTATGAAATATTTACAGTCTTCGGCTTGGGATCGAATCTCATGCACGTGCATAAAAACAGTTAAAGGCAGCATCTGAAAATGGTATTGTTCAGTTGGATGGAAATGGTATTCGCGTAATAGACCACATGGAGGTAGCTGGATCTCCACAAAAAGCCACTGTAGGGGATGACAAAAAAGCCCCCGACACAGACCTCGCAATATTAATTGCAATGCTCACATCACATTTAAACTCCTCTTTCGCTTGGTACCAAGACTAAGGTGCTCAGCACCCGGGTTATTGGTAAACATCTTTTATATTTTGCTACAAGCAATATCTCAGTTTGACATTACGTTTATTTTAATATTTATTTAATTCATCTTCGCACATAGCGGATCGGCTCACGTTGTATGCTACAAAACGTGAAGATTTTAGATTAGACGCGAACTTTTGCCAACCACAGGGATCAGCAAGTTTTTTTCTACAACCTGTTTGTCGCGGTGGAATAACATTGACGATTACACAAGATTGGCTCGATCAATACAGACATGATGGAGGATGAAGGTTCTTGGCAACTGAGTTGACAACAGCTACATTGTCATTCAGTTTTGCCGCGCGTATAAGGTTTAAGGGAAGGGAATCTTAAAGATGATGGCCATCTTTAACGTGAGTATAATACAAAGTGTTTTGTGTATTGGTTAGATTATGTAGGTGAATATCGCATAATCGGCTTACTAATTCGTGATTGCTTGTTAATGAGGTGGAAATGCAAGAATGTTTGATTACTGAGATTGAACTGTATGACGATGATATTGGACCTAAAGTCCGAGATGTTCTCAAATTACCAAAAGGAGTGAAAACGATCTCTTCGTTGCCAGATATTGTTGATACTGTAACAATGGATAATATAGACTGAAAATCAAAGATTAATTATTCAAAATTGTTGCCGTTACCGTTGTACGCGTAATACATTTATGGTGCAAATTGTCAAAAAACAATTGGTTATCACGTGAATTATTTATATGTAAATATGTCTGGTTCATGATCAGATGCATGCAAAACACAATTAAAATTTCACGGCTATAATCCTGCCGAGAGCATATTAAAAGTTGAACCAACACTGGGTCAAGTCATTACCGAAAGTTCAGATATTATAGTAAACAAAGAGGGTAATAAGATTTCGGTCGTGTTTTTAGTTGTTGTGAATTTATTTCATCGGACAATTGCTTCATCTGGAAAAGATTGCTAAAGCGGCACATAAAAAGGTACATTTATTTGGATAAAATCTGTCCTTGTCTATTATAAAGGACTGCATTGTCATATTGGACCATCGGGAAACCTCGTACATGTATTAAACCATATTCTGGAGTAATACTGCATTTCTTGATAGCAAATTGATAAATTTACCTTCATTTTGCTTCGGTTTGAACTATAAATTCACATTTTTAGAACTGGCATCGATATCTATGCCATATTCTAGAGTTAAATGCAAATAAGTATTTTTTAAACGTATAAAGTGATGCATATAATGATTTCAGATTATTTGGAACATACAAATTGACACTTGTAAAACCTAAACAAATATCTGATATAGTTTTTAATTAATATAAAATATCCTTTTTGATTGAATATAAATGTATGTAACTGTATCAATTGGAATTGATATTATTTTTGAAGTAGATTTGACTGGTGTAGCATTTGAAGATACATGAACATGTATTTGTTTATATAGTCTAATCTCTCTATAGTTACCTTCATATAATCACAAAATCAATATAGTCATATTTTTATTCTGATCATTTATTTTTATATTATTTTGACCTCTGTATAGGCACAAATATATTATGCTTTTTTATTAACTGCTTATATAAATTGTTCTCTACAAAGTCATATCATGTAAATAAGTTAATTATTATTATGTATTATTAATTAATAATTAAAAAAAATTATAATAAAAAAAAATTAAAATGATAAATCAATATTTTCATTACAATTAAAAAAAGATAAAATTGAAAATTACTTCTTATTTTTATCTCTTTTATTATATTATTCTCTAAATCTTTTTTGTAATATTAATAATTCACTCTCATTAAATTCTTTTTCAACTTCAAGACTTTTTTGATAACTTATAACTTTTTTTAGTACATCTATTACTTTCACTATAGTTATTGGAGAAGATAATAATGATCCTTTATTTTATCTATTTTATCATTACTGTCACAAAATTTATAAATTATTATTTCAATAATACTTTTATTAATTAATATATCTTTAGTTTTAGCTGATTGATTAATTAAATAATATATTCTTTAATATCTTATATTAATTATAATTATCAAGTAGCAAAAAAGTATTATTAATTTCATTTTCTGATTCATGTTCACTTATTTTGAATTCATCTATTTCAAATTTATCTATTTTAAGTTTATTTATTTTAAACATAATTCTAGTAGCTCTTTAATAATTTTTTATAATAATATTATTAATATTATTTCAAGCTTCAACAATAAAATTAATCACTTTTCTCAAGATAAGTTTTCTATATTTAATAAAAAATAAGTTAAATAAAATTAAAAAAAATATAAATTATAATATCATAATAGAATTTTTTTATTATTATTTTTTAAATAGCTAAATTATCTAATAAATAAGAAAAAAATCTTACTTTTGATTCTGATTTTTTTCAAATTAATTAATTAAATAATGATAATATAGATTTTTATATTTTAATTTAAAGTTATAAATAATATTGATATTCATAAGCTAAATATAAGTGATCATATTTAATAAAAGAAAATATATAATAATATTTAAAAGATTTGAAATTTCTCTTAGTCTTTCTTGTTATTTTTTTTATAGTCTTTTTAGTAATCTTTCTTATAATCTTTCTTATAGTTTTTCTTATAATCTTTTTTATAATTTTTCTTGTGATCGTTCTCATAATACTTTTAAAATTTTTCAATTTTATTAATAAAATTATTCTTAGATAATTATCTATCTATATTATTATCTTAAATATTATTTATTTTTGAAACTATATAAGAAGTTATATTATTAACAAAAAGTAAAATCTTTTTATCTTGAATATAAGAACTGTTATTTATATAATATAATTATTATTCTCAAATATCATTTCTTATCCATACTTTTTTATTATTTTTATATATTAAGAAATATTTATCCTATTATAGGTCAGTGCAAAAAGATTTGTATATCAATATAAAAATTAATAATTACTTCTAATAAAAATCATTCAAATTTTAATCAATCTTTATAATTTTTTTATATTAA